GCACAGTTGACGTCTCATTACAAGGGAAGCCAGACAGATTGACATTTTTAGGTAAAAAAAGAAAAAAAAATTTTTTAAGATTTATTTATTTGACACAGTGAGAGAGAGAGCACACAAGCAGGAGGAGAGGAGGAGTGGCAGGCAGAGGAAGAGGGAGAAGCGGGCTCCCCACTGAGCAGGGAGCCTGATGTGGGTCTCAATCCCAGGACCCTGGGATCATGACTTGGGCCGAAGGCAGATGCTTAGCCGACTGAGCCACCCAGGCGCCCATCGTCTCCCTGCTTCTAATACTCTCCTATTCTCCATTCTGTTCTCCTGATTCTAAAATGCAAACTTGATCACATCATTAGCAAAATTAAAATCCTACAACTGCTTCCCACTGCTTTCAGGGTAAAATTCCAACACCAATCCCAGTGAACACACACCTTTCAGAACCTTGTTCCTAAGTAACTCTCCAGTTCTATTTACCACGTTCTGCGTACATGCCCACCTACTATGAGAAACTACTCTCAGGTCTACCAATTTTGCCATACTCTTATGTTTGCATGCTTTCAACTATGCTCTTCAGAGAATATGGGTTTTTCATTTAGCTAATTACTGCAATATCAGAGTTTAGCTCCTTTGAGAAATTTTTCTCCGTATCTTCCATCCCCACTCCCAAATAACTAAAGCACCTATTCAATCTATTCACGTAACATTCTACAGTTACCTCTAATATAGCATTTATCATACAGAACTGCAATTATGTGTACTCAACAAATGCCTCCTGAATAAACCTCTCCCAGCCATTTGTTGAAGATCCTCTAAAGCAGACTAAATGATTTCCTAAATAAGAGATCACAGGCCAGTATTCAAAAATTATGAAATGGTCTTTTGGGTCAAAATGGTCAACTGACCACTCCCATTCACTGTCTCTCCCTCCTGGGACTCCTACAAAATGAATAGTTAAAAACAACAACAAACAAAGGTATAACAAATAACCAGAAGCATATCTGGAAAAAACATTTCTACAAATTTTAGAAGACAGAAAGACGATGAAAAGTAATAAAGAAGGGATGAGGCAGGGGAGAGAAAAATGAGGTCAGGAGTGTGCAGAAGGCGAGTAATATCTGGGAAAGGAGCTGATCTGACTTGCAGAATCCCTAAGCCACTTTCATCTAGGGCATGATGACTACAGAAGGGTGGAGTGAGTGGTGGGGTTGAAATCAGGATAATTAATTAAAAGCGTGACTACCACTCAATACCACCTCCCTTGCAATCTCCACACTTGGCAGCCAAGGCCCCAGGCAAAAATGTGACTTCTCTAAAAAGTTAAAATATTCTGGCAAAAAGACTCCAGCCTTCTAATATTTAGCACTCCCCCTGCCCTGAATAACAGCCAGTTCCTGACCTACACAGACTTTACTAAACCCAAGAGTAAATAACCCCTATCTATGTACCGGGAACTTCTCAATTTTTTCATATCTCATTCTTAAATATGATTTTTGATGAAAGCCATAATCATAAAAGAGAAAGACCAAGATAACTAGAGGGGAAACGAAACTCAAGATCTTTCAGAAAGCAGAACAAAAAGATAAGGTTGAGAAAATATGAGAACGTAGAAGAGAAAGAAATTATTCCACAACTGAAGAATACCAATCTTTAGACTGTAAGAGCCCTCCATGTAACCCATAATGAATGAAAAACAAAACCTCATATGTAGATACATCATTGTAAAAATTTCAGGACACTATGGATGGAGTCCCTAAAAGCTTCCAGGCAGAAAAAAAGTTACCTACAAATGATCTTGCAAAGACTTATCAGTAACACTAAAGACAATGAAGTAATGCCTTTTAAGCTGTGAGGGAAAATGATTTTCAACCAAACTTTTACCAAAGCAAATGTGAAAACAGTATAAAGACATTTTGAGATCTAAGAACTTAGAAAATTTACCTCTCATAAGCCCCTTTTTGGAAATTAACCAAAACAAGAGAGAAAACCAAAAAAAGAAGACACAGAATCTGTAAAATAGAGTGCTCAACTCAGATTATCAGTAAAAGGTAGTCCTAGAATGAGATCCAGACACTTAAAACTGGAACAGGAGACTGAAAGTTCAGCTAGGGAGGTTTATGGGGGAAAATGTGAATTCAGAATATTCAATGTGATAGAGAATTGAGAAAGTGAAAAAAATGCTATGAGAAAAAGCCAACAATGCAAAAAAAAAAAAAAACTCTAGGAAAAAAACAAAAAGTCTCTAATATAACCATACCTACCATAAGACCATACGGTGAACAATGTTTACATAGCTGTACTATAATCTTTGTTTATTAATTTTCAGCCTTTAGAGCAAGGAAGTAACATTTAATTATGATTACAGAGTAGAATGTAAATATTATCAACCTTGACAATGTGAAAGTAAAGTACAGTTTACTGAAGTTGGGAAACTGAAGGGATAAATGAAAACTAATGGGAAAGGAGAGGGACATTAACCTCATTTTACACAGTGAAGAGTTGAGAGTTAGTGGTCAAAAAATTATCAAATATAGTACTACCATGTACGAAGATGATCAATAGATTTAGATTTAAAATAGTTATATAATGCTGTTGGGAGAAGGAGGAAGGCAGTGGAGTATAAGTTAAATCCTCATCTGTCATACCGAGAAGTCAAAAGATATTTCTTAAATAGGATAAATCAAGAAAGAACAATATAGGCATATTATTCA